AGTTCTACCTACACGACAAAGTGAACCGTGTCACAATCGCCTTGCCTTTAATGTCTCTTTGTACAATACATATTTGAAATTATATTATAATACAATTATAAAATAAAAAAAACATAATTATATAAATTTTACAGATATATATTATAATTTTTAAACGATTCATAAATAGCAATTTTATATCATTTATCAATAATTACATATATTCCAAACATGAAAATAAAGAATTTCCCAAAATATCACTCATTTATTAGTTAGTTATAGATAGATATAGATTAGTTAAGCTTTAAATGACTCAATGATATCAATATTTTTATATAAATATATATATTGAATATATTATTGTATTGAATTATTTATAGATTGAAATGATTTACATTCATTAAAACACAATTAAAACTGTTATATATATATTACATTTTTCTCTTCTCTCATTATTTTCTTTTTGTTTGTATAAAATTGCGAAAGAAAACTATATTTTTTATATATTAGATCTTATGAAATTTGAAATTTTAAATTTATAGAATAGTATGATTCCGTAAACTTATATAAATATAATATATAAATATAATAGAATGAGATGGAAGTATGTCCACTAACTCACTCTCGTTACGTTGGCATTAACCTTTATACTGTTTCGTGTCTGAAAATGTGCGAATATTCTTGTTCTATACAAATATTTCACAAAAGTAAAAACTATAGACTTCGAAATTTCTATTCTTTTTAAAGTCGTAAATCGTTATTCGATTGACATCGAAATTTATCGATTAAGAAATTACAAATGATAATATTATTAGATATCAATGAAAAATTTCTATCGAAATTTTATAATTTTTATATAATTTAAATATATGACAAAGAATTTATATTTCTATATATTATATGTATCTTAGATTTGAATCAGCGTTATTAAATTATAATAATAGCACATTAAATAATACGAAAAAGTTAATAACAGATATTTTTTCTATTCGGAATATTCCGAACATATGTCGATCGAAATCGCGAGGGCAGGTATTTGTATCACGGAGCACAAAATACAACAGATGTTCCATAATGTTTCGATGAATCGTTGAACCATCACAAAGATAGAATTATAAAAATAAACGAAAAAAAATTTCACAAAGAGCATTCGATCGGTAAAACAGAAAGCACATGCGAGAAAAGCAACAGGCGGGGACACGGAACGCGCCAGCCGTTGAATTCGCGCTTGATTCTATCACATTCAATTCACATTCACATCAATTCGTGATAACGATTCTATCGCATTTATGAAAATATAATTTCGATTATTCGACAAAGAAAAGGTTATTAAACTCGACGCTTGATCGAGCAAACTTGAAAAAAAAGATTTTTCGAGGTTAAAAATAAACTGTCAAAACGTAAATGGAAAAAAAGGGTTGCACGTTGGAATATAATCAATGAAAAACACGGGAAAAAGATCACCAAAAAGAAAATACTTGTGGCACAAACCTGGTTTTGAAACGCTGTGTATCGTCTTGGCCAGCCCACATTTTTCCTTAATCGCGGATAAAAAAAGACTTCTTTTATACTTTCCAACTTGAAAATTACACAATAATGCGTTTCGGTGTCACGACGCGACAATTCGTGCCGGTTATGCACGTACAAGCAAGTCTACGACGTGGGTCAATCAGGCTGGATCACGCCGCGGCTCGAGTTCCTCTTCCGTTTCTTTCTTTGTCGCACACACGTACTAACGAATACGAAAGAGAAAGATCACAGATAGAAAAGCGGAGGGAAACTAACGTACGCTACACGAGGAGGCGCCACCTCCAAAAAGTCGAGAAGCAGGAAAGGAAGCGTGCCGTGTTCTGTACAATCGTGAAATCCACTGACGGTAGAGAGATCGCGACGTCGCAAGCGCAAACTTGCGTAGGGAGAAATGATCCTCGTGCACGTGTGCACGAGGCTTTAAGCCGGTTTATTCAACGCCTGCGAAATACTATGTGGACAACCTCGAGGGATGTGTCCTTAAGCACAGTCACGGACACGATCTACAGAGACAACTCCCTTTGGTTACTTCTTCAGTCTAGCCAGCAACAGAGGTTATATTTATCCTTTGAATCGTACTCTTTTCGGATTTTCTTAGACATGAGAATATCTTGCGTTTGACCATAAATGGAAGCATTGATGCCATTTGTTTGTGATTATACATTTAAAATGATTGTCTAATATTTCAATTATTAAAACTGCAGATTTCTAAATTTGAGATTATAAAAAAATATTAAATAATAAAACAGTAAAAGTTTTATCGATAACTATTTGTATTCTATAAGGTAAATATTAAAAAAATAAAAAAATTCAATAATCAAATTGAAAATTTCTAATAATTATACAATTCTTTTTTTCTGATGCATACTATATTATCTCTTCAAAGCAAAGATACATGCAAAAACGAATATTACGAGAATATGAAAAAGAAACGAACAGAAACAGACAGAATAAAGGATAGGTACAATATTGTATCCATGCAATTATGAAGCTTCGAACCTAAATGTACACGCCTCTATGCAACACGCTAAGAACTATACAATGCTGGATGAGTCACAATATGACTCGTGTTTCAGAACTATGTATATTCGTGTGCATTTCAAGAAATTATTTACAAAAAAAGAAAGATATTATTCATCTATGATTTATACAATAATTATATTTAAAAAAAAATTTTTTTTTAAATATTCATTCTTTTGAAATATATAAAGAAACAAGTAAAATTTTTGTTATTTTCTATTACTATTACGGAAATCGGATAATTTTGATCTGTATATGTTTCATAATTTATTGAAATTGTTAGGGATTTATATTAAAATCAGTTGTGTATCGTTAGAAATATAAAATACTTGTTCAAAACATTTATCTTTATCTTATATACATTTTTTATTTTTCCATTTTATCGATAAATCAAATACTCTTTTATTAGAAACATACATTGCAATATTTCGCCGCTATCTGTGGTAAACCACTAACTTTTTTTTTAAAAATGTCAGAAATATGATATTGCTAAAGCAAACTCACTCACTAACATTTTACAAAATAAGAAAAGATTACATAAATTACACTACTTTCTTAATTATAATATTTGTATTTTATATTATACATGACACAAATGAAATTAATAACATAATATAATAAAAATCCTTATTCTATAAAATAAATTTAATCATTAGTTATTAGTTATTAAAATCAATAAAAATAATTTTAAAAATTATAATTATGATATTATCAATTATTTATCAATATTATTATTGATAAGATATCACCATTCTATTAAAAATTAAAAATAAAATTTATATAAATTTATATAAATTTTTTTAAGTATTTATTATAAATATATATTTATTTAAAATATTAAAAAAAAATAGAATTCTAGTAAATATTGCAATCGAATTTTTGAAATTTATAACACAAATGATACAGCGAGCGCTATCTATTGCCATTTCTTTGCACTTGCATTTTATTTAAGATATTACCGACTCAATAATCTTTAAACGCAACAGTTAAATCTTATCGTAATAAATTTATAATTAATGGAATTTTTATATAAATAATTTATTAGAATTGATATTTTTTCAAAAAAATTGAAATAAATTGAAATAAAAAAGATATATTTTACTTATCTTTAAAGTTATATTTAATGTAATATTTTAAAAAATTGAAAATTACAATCATATTTTTAATAATAATAATAAATAATATTATAAATAAAATTTATAATTTTATTTATAAATATTTGATTTAAAGTTAATATTAAACTCAATAAATGTAATTGTAAATGATATTCATTATAGAAGAATTTTCATTTATATCTTTCATTTACGTAAATACATAATTTATTAAACTTCTTCAAAATATATATTAATTTATATTTAAATTGCAAATAAATGTTCTTAATTTTCGTAATTTTCAATTTATCAAAACTTTACCAATACGAAAAAAGGTTCATGGATTGTCCGGTTATGACCGGTTCAAACTGACGCACCATGCATAACAAAAAAATCAGTAACCAACAAGACGCCATTAATTTATTTTTATTACTATTGAATTAATATTTTATATAAATAATAAATAAATATTTTTATTTTATATAAAAACATAATCCTTCAAAATAATAGAAATAAAAAACCTACCAAATAATAAAATTTAAACTGTTAAAAGATCAAATTTTTTAACAATTGTTTTTAGAAATAATTAATAATGTCAAATATATATTTTTATTGTAAAAGCTTTAATCTTTTACAGGTTAAAATAAATAAACGATACACTACTGGCAGAAGGAAAATACGATTCCTTAATGTAATATTTGTATAAATAAATCGTAAATATAAGCTTGTCACTTACTTGCTAGATTTCTTCTTCTCATCACTAAATCCTTGGAAGGTTCCTGTGGATGTCATCTTCTAAAATTTAAATACAAGAAAACGAATACTTTTAGAACAACCGTCGCGCAGTTTTTGCGGCACGCAAGAACACAAACACGACTCTTTCTTCTACTTACCGAACGAAATCAAATAGGGTTGTGATACGGGATTGGTAGGTCGTACTACAAATTTTGACGTCAGAATAACTAGTCAAATCAGTATTTAAATTACAAATTTTTTATCAAGAAAAAATAAATTATAATTGAATACTTTTTTAACATATAAAAATATTTTATAAATTATTTTTTGTAATGAATATAATTAAAAATTGTTAATATGATATGAAATAATCATAATTTTAATAATGATTTGTGTCACTTTATTACCAAACTTTATAACTATTATTCATAATCTAAAATACATAAGAAAAATTATATATATATAATTTTGTAGATGTATATTTATCTATATATATATAAATCTTTGATTTTATAAATCTTTAATTATATTATAACTATGTATTTTATAAAGATTTTTAATATTCCATGCTTGCCAATTATTTATAGTAAATTATTACTTATGAATATTATAATTGCATTTTATAGTACATCGCATGTGATTTTGTTTATTGAAATATATTTATAAAATTTTTTTAAATTAAAATAGCATTATTTATGATAGATTTATGTCTTATTTCAAAAGATAAAGATGTAAAATTCTCTTAGAAACCAGCAGCCATGTTTGTTCCTTGTCATAAATACAGATGGAGTATCTAAAAAAGTCTTATAAAAGTTTACTTATATTCTGTATGATTTGATTGATCTTGATTGGTGTAATTATAAATGAAGTGATAATACATATCTGTATAAATGGTGCGACAAGTTCGAAAATCTAATACAGTGACATTCAAGAGTTTGTCATTAAATGGATCATTTTTATTTTTTAACCGTCGAAGGAAATTTATAAAAGAAGGAAAATGTTAAATCAAGCTGTAGTCGAAGCTTTATATTCTGCAACATATATTGAAAATTATTTAGATTGTGTGGAAAACTTACCAAATGATTTACAAAGACATGTTTCCCGGCTTCGAGAACTTGATGCCACTTGTCAAAGTAATTAAAATTAAGTTTAAAAAGTTTTCATAGTATATTATTGATACGTTTTTATTACAAATAATTTTTTTGAATTGGAAAATTCATAAATGCTTTCATAAAATATAATATATAAATGCACCAAAAATAAAAAAATAAATATAATAAAAAACTTAATAATGTTAAAAAATTTGCATTTCTTTGTAAAATAAATATTAACTTGAATATGTACTATTATTTTTTAATTTATTATATCGTAAAAAAGTGAAAAAAATTTTTGTTTTTTATTTTATTTAAATTTTTATAAAAAAAATTATATTTTATTTATATTTTTCTAATTTAATTTAGCATATTTACGGGAGGTAGATCAACAACAAGAAGCATTGCGAAATGATTCAGATTTGACAGTTAAAAGAAGAGCACTTTTAAGACTTCAACAAGCCTTGATTGCAGCACAAGAAATAGGAGATGAAAAATTGCAAATAGTTCAACAAGTTCAAGATCTTATTGAAAATAAATCCAGACAATTAGATTTAGATTATCGTAATCTTGGTATAGTTTTTTTTTTTGTTAATTTTGCATATTTCATAAAAGTAAACAATTACCAATATTTCTTATATTTTAAATTTTTTATAGATTTTGGAAAAGAACAAGAAAATAATGAATCAATCCGTGAAACAAATGCAAATGTGACTTCTAATTCTTCTGGCAATGCAAATAATTCAGAAAGACAACCAAAAAGAGCTAGAAGGACAAGAACAGAGACAATGGTTGAATCTTCCAATACTATGGATATGATTGTAATGACAGAAACACGTTCAAATTCTTTATCAAATACAAGTAATGGTAATCAAAAGAAAACAACTACTACTAATACTGGCAAGAAAAAGAAAAGGAAATCTAGACAAGGTAATCAGCAAAATCAACATCGTGAAGATACTCCACCACCACCAGAGGATGATCTTGCAATAGATCCAGATGAACCAACATATTGTCTCTGTGATCAAATATCATATGGAGAAATGATATTGTGTGATAATGACTTATGTCCTATAGAATGGTTCCATTTTTCATGTGTTTCATTAAGTACCAAACCAAAAGGTAAATGGTTTTGTCCAAAATGTAGAGGAGACAGACCAAATGTTATGAAACCTAAAGCTCAGTTCTTAAAAGAATTAGAGAGGTATAATAAGGAAAAAGAAGAAAAATCGTAGCAGGAGAAAATTGGTGAGCAATTTAAATACTTTGGAAGACTTAATTCAATTTAAAGACAGCTTCTATGATATATTTTATTAAATACTTTCTGAAATCTTATTAAGCAGATTGATTTGTGATTTGTGAATTAATGAAAAAAAATAATAGTTTCATAAAAAAAAAAATATATGAAATTATTCTGTTATTAAATATATAATTGTATAGATATGCGTGTGAACTATCATATAATCAACTACAGTAGCAGATAAATTATATTTGTATAATATTGGCTATTGTAAATATTGTGACAAAACTAAATAATTACAGTAAAATAGATACTTTATAAAAAAATGTTTTAAAATTGCTTTATATTTGTTCAAAATTGAAAAATTAATGGGCCTCTATACTCTTGAGCAATAATATGTGTGTAAATACCATTTATCTATGGTAATTATCTAAAATATAATATATTTCATATTTAAATTACAATAGCAGTATTAAAAGAAAAAAAAAGAATTTTTGTAACATAAATTAACTGTGTCATGAATAAAATGACTTAAGATCAACATCTTTTTTAATTAGTTTGTATTATAGTATATAAAGTCTTATTAGTGATTGTCATTAATTCATTATGTATTAAGTTTCATTTATAAAATTCTGTTGCATTATTTGCAAAATGTATATTTATATAAAAAATATAGATTCTTATGATTGCATAAAGTTTATAAAATTACATGCATAAATGAAAATTATACATAGAATCTCTAAAAAGAAATTATATGTATAACTTTGTTTATTGATGAGAATTTATTTTGTACATATGAACATTGTATTTTTAGGATATAAATTCTCTTTAATATATAATGTATAATATATTTAATAAGATATAATTTTTTATAGTTGAATAAAAACTCTAACATATAGCAAAGCATATTGTTTTTTAAAAACAATTTAAATGTTTTGCAAAACTATAAAAGAAATTTTTTATTAAACATGTTTATAAAAAACGATTTTAATGTTTTTATTAAATTCAATAATTTTTATTATGAGAACTGTCTTGGTTTTTGTTTACCTTTCCCTATCTACTATTTATAAAAGGAGATTAATACATATTGTTATGAATAATATTTCAACTTTATTAGGAAATTACAAGAAATTATTAATAGTATTATCATTTAAATTGATTATTGATTTTAATTCTATGCTATATTATTTATACATTGTAATTGAAATTACAAATTATTTTTCAGTTTTCTTATTATATATTAGTAATTTAATTTATTCGTTTTAAAGTTATTTTATGCGGATTTCATATTTATATGTAGCTGTTAATTGCAATGTAAATTAATGATATAAAACAGATAATTATATGTATATTTTTATTTTTATAATTTTGTTATGTAATAACTGGGTTCCTAAACCCTAATTATAAATGAGCAAAATAATATATATTTTATTTATGTTTATAGATAAAGATCACATAATGCACAGTATAATTCCATATCACTCCAATGTTCTACACTTTTTTACATATTTGAAATATAATCAATATTAAATAAATTTTTTTATTTCTATATAAAATTAGATAGCATTTTAGAGTGTATAAAAAAAATTCTGTAGAACAGTGGAGGATTTAATGTCTTGATTTACTAGCATGGAAAAATATTTCAGGCCATGAATTAAAAAATTAAAAAAGAAAGACTCAAATAAACATTCTTAAAATTCTGAATGAACCATACTTAATGTCAGCGGCTATCTTCTGTATGACTTTCTTGGAAGTTCAACCAAGACTGTTCTACAATAGCATCTACTCTCTTCTCATATTCCCGCTTATTTTCTTGATATAATCGTGCGGCTAATGAATTTGCTGGAGAATTTGGATTTGGTTCATCCAAAAGGGACTGTAACAAATATTTTAGACTTTGTTATGATATAACATAAGTTTATTCTAAACATAAACAGCACAAAAATTTAAAGAAAACCATAAAACTATAAAGTGAAATTATGTATTTATTATATGTGGTATATATATATATATATATATATATATATACATATACATATATATATATATATAATATATACATATATATACACGTATATGTGTACATATATGTATATATATATTTATATGTATACGTGAATTTATGTACTATATGAAGTACTTAAATTTAATTGAAATATATTTCTACGCTTATGAAAGACTGCTTTGAAGCACAAAAACAAAAAGCGCCAAATACCGATTATTTTCTACCATTTAATATTACTAATTTTAATCAAATGTCGATTTGTTATCAAATATCGAAATAAATAAATACACAATTTTATAATAATTTATTATTCAACATCGTAAAAATTCGGTCTAATGTTGCACATTGTGGTAGTTCAATAGAGCTTTAGGAAGAAACATGCTAATATTTAGCGTTAGCTTCTTGGTAAGGCTGCACGTTCTCCACTGTATTTGATGGCTGTAGGTGGCTGATTGATGCTGCAACAGCATTGTGGAAACGCCTGCGACTAATCCGTAAAACTCTGCTCCACACAAGCCTTCACTCGCTTCTCGTATTCACGTCGGTTCTCTTTGTACAGTTGTGCTGCCATTGAGTTGGCAGGTGAATTCGGGTTCGGGTCACTTAACAGCGACTGCAACCACATAAGTCATACTCATTATACAAAATTCTTTAATGATGCATGGCTATAATTATAAGTAAATGATGCCCTTACTTGGTATTGGTGATTAGAAGTACACACGTAAGTCAAATAAATTACAAGCATAAATTTAATACTAACATCATATAAATAACTTTCAAATTTAGTGAATCAGACTTTGCTGAATTGCAACCGCTGTTAAGACAAAAACTTACAAATTTTTCGAATTTTTATAAAATTGATATAAAAGATATGGATTTAAATATATGAAATTTTAACGACTCTTAATATATTTCTATAAAACAATAAAAAATTAAGCATATTCTATTTTAATAACAAATAATAAAATAAGCATTTAACTATTTTGAAAATTGTGAACATTTAGTAATTGCCATGCAAAATATATTTGTTGTATAAGAAAACTTAATTTTTAATATTATAGAAATAAAAATTAATAATTATATTTTAATAATATTTTTCAGTTAATTGTAATAAATTTATTATTGCTTTATTATTTATTATTATATTAATTTATGAAATTTAGTTTGCAATTTTTTATTGTGATATGAATTAATGAGAATAAATAAAATGCAAATAGAATAAAAAATAATATCATTAGATGTTTGAGAAATATTGATTCAAACTAATTATAGATGTAAATTATCAGGTGATTTAAATACCTGTATGGATGTTAAAATAGCAGACACATCATAAGTAGGGCTCCAACGATTCTGTAATATGTCCAAACAGATGCCTCCATCAGCATATACATTAGGGTGGAACATCTTACTAATAAATCTCACTGTAGGTGGTTTATTTGGATATTCTTCCGTAAATTCTATTGTAAGTTTAAAGGTACCATCTTCAAATGGAGTATCATGAGGTCTGAAAAAATAATGAAATGTGAATTAGAAATATAATTATTTTTATTAATTACAATTTTAAATTTAAAAAATTTTCTACGAATTGAATGAATATCTATTATTTATATAGATATATATTATCTATTATATTTTAAAAAATATTCATATGTATTCTTACCCAAATATAACTGCATTCCATATCATAATATTATTGTCTGTAGGTGCTCCTGATACTCCAGTGGGTGGATCTTCTTGTAATCTATTCATAAAAATATTAAATTTTATATTTAACATAACAAAATTCATTAATATAAATATTAATTACATAATTAATAATAATAATTAAAAAAATATTAATATTTATTATATATAACATATCAAAATAAATAAATAGATTTAAATATAATTACTTTATTATTTAAAGTATATAACATACAAAAAAAATTTTTGTTAAAAAATTTATCTTATAAAGTATTTATTTTATTCAGAATTGCTTAATATAAATTTAACAAAGAGAATAAATTTAGATTTTTAGAGGTCTCAATGTCGCTTCAATGCTTTTATATATAAAATAATTATATATAAAACAATACCTTTTTATATTTTTTAATAATACTATATATATACTATATACTATATACTATGTAATATATATATATATATTCTTTTTCTATTGAAAAATATCCTATTTATAACAAAAATAAATAAATAAATAATGAAAATTATATGAAAACTATTAATATTATATATTTAAAAATATCATTTATTTTTTTAGATTATTTTATAACTTATAAAATAATTCTTTTATGAATTATAATATCTAAAAAAATTTTCTACAAATTGAACGAATATTTACGAAAACTAATAAAAAAATGTGACAATATAAACAAAAACATAATTGTTCACAAATGGCATGCTATTTCCTATATATTTTTTAAATAAAAATAAATATAGTTTTCCAAATTATCCATTAATCTTTGATAAATTTGGTTAGGAATACAAATGAAACGTAATAAATGATTATAAACACCTAATAATAACTTTGTAAGATGGGCTACAATGACGTTCGAACGTTCTGTAACCTGATGAGTGTGTGAAAAAAAATTTTCAATGATTCAGAATGTACAAAAAGGTTACAGGCAGCATAATATAAATTTCAATTACAATGGCGATGGATGACACACGAAATAATGACATAGAAATCTTAAAAATCACTATACCTTTTAAAGTCTCTCATTAATCTCCTTCTTGCGGGGGTAGACATCCCTCACAAATGGGCTCGTCGCTCCCAAATCGTTAATACGAATAAATTCCAGAACGATGCTGTCCACAGCTCACGTTAATGCTGTTTCTCAATAAAAGAAACCACAGTCCCACACGACGGTTACTTCGACAACCTCGTCACATATACAAGAACGCCTGTTGTTTCTGCTGCGTATGTCTTTACCTTTTGTCAGTCCGAAGGCCACCCTATCGCACAATACCGTTATAGGTTGTTCAAAATTTGTTCTACCTAACAGGTTTCCGATTGGCACTCGATTGTGTATTGATATTTTAACACCTTGAGTTTCCACTGTCGATCGTGGAAAAGGCCACCAACATAAAACCTACGTAATGATCACCCTGAGAAATTCGTTCACCGGACTGCCAAACCACGGACAGCTGGATAGATATACGGAGGGAATGAGGAATGAACTGTTTTGCGCATGACGTCACAAACTAAAATCGGACATCCCAACCAATAGTTTTTATTACTATATTCGTTGTTCGATTTAGATTTATTGTTTTGCTTTTAAATAAGCACGTTTTGTAAAGAAAACGATTGATTTCGAGAAACAAAGTGCGATATGTTTCTATGTAGCAGTTTTAAAAGTATAGTTATGCTATACCTAAAAAACGTCACACAATACAAATTATAACCAATCCGGAGCCCTCACTAATCTAAATGTAGTTTTCATTACAAGATTTTTTTTTTCGCTAAATACTAATACTAATTTTCATGAATTATAGATCGATACAATTACGTTCAAAATGTATGTTTATAAATGCATTTTTATTTTATACAATATATTTAATTCAAGAAAAAATAATAAAATATCATTTCTATTTATTTCTAATATATAGTTATTAAAATTTTTTTTCGTGTAATAAATTTTAATATTTGAATATTTGACTTAATGTTAAAATTATATTTCTAGGGATTTTGTTTCTTTAAGACAAAAGAAATGCTATTGGTTATAATGATTATTGAGCGCAAAGTATAATCTAGAAGTTATAAATTAAAATTATTTTTATAACATTTATTATGTATTAAAATAAATACATAAATTGCTATTTTTAATGATAATAGATTGTAATATTATTATTCTTATATACGTTAAAACAGATTATATAAATAAAATTTAATTTTTTTACGTAATATTTACTTATACATAATCAAAAATCGATAAGAGATGTAGGATACTGTTAAAAGCGCACGCGTGAACAGATGCTGATACCTGTCAGCTGTCCAGTGAATACAATTGCACATAAATTGAGAATTAAAATATTCTTTATCCTATTACGAAGTCTTCCAATGAAGAAATATAATAATTTTAATCAAACTTAATGGCTTGTGATAATCGAACAAAAGTGTACTTGGGATACGAAGATGAATACGTCACTGATAAACACCGACCATATATTAATTTTATGACAAATAAGATTGGTGGATTTCCAGTAAGCTTCTTCTTTTATAAAATTAAATTTTAATTATTTATATTTAAATAATGTATTTAAAAAATTTTAATTAAATAAAATATTTAAAAAATTTAATCAAATTTTAAAATTTTTAAGTTACATTAAATTTTTTTTATATGTAAACTATTTTTATATTAAATATTATATAATTATAATATATAATTTAAATGAATAATTAACATTAATTATTTTTGATTATTTTAAATTAATTCTTGAACAACTTAATAAAATATATATATATATACATTAATTAAATAATATTTATTGTTTTTATTTGTAGAACTGTTATGAAAAAAATTTACTATCATTACCACAATGTAGATTATGCAGATTGTATCAACTTTTGGCTCTTCAATTATATGTTCCATTAGATAATTCTAAATATCATCGAACACTTTATATTTTTACTTGTATAAATCCAAATTGTTGGAATCAAAATGAAAGTTGGACTTGTTTGAGAGTTCAAGTATCAGAAGATGAATGTAAACCAAATGCTTTAGATAGTAGTAGCATAGTAGTACCATCTACAACATCATGGTTGTCAGATGCAGATGATTGGGGTGATAATTTGAATGATAATTCTGAACAAAATGGAAATAATGTACTACCAAATAATATGACAGATTTTCATTTTTCTTTGCAAAAAGATGCAGATGAAAATATAAGAGAAGAATTTTCTGCATTACATGTTGATGATCCTAATGCAAACAGGTATATAAAAAATTGCTAAAAAACATTAATATTTATAAAAATGTATTTATTTATTATATCTAATTTATTTTAGTCCAGCAAGTATAGAATCTCCAGTTGGTGTAGGTGCTGTAGGTAGATTAGATTCTCCTCAAGCATCAGCTGAAATTGATGGTGAAGAAAGTGAAGTTGTTTGTATTGATACTCCAATCCAACCTCAATGTGATTTAATTAGTTTATTGCGAGAAGTAACTCCATTTCCTATTCAAATAGAATCAAATATTGATACAAAATTATCATTTGTTGAAATATTTCTTTCCGTCGAAGAAGAAGATTATAATCTAGATGTGCCACAACATGTATGTGATTTACTCTTGGAATATCAATATAGAAATCCAGACTTATCATCAAAATCTGGAACAGATATAGATGAAGGTAAAACTATAGAAACAGATTCAGAAAAATATGAAAAAGGCATTCCAATGCATGGAGATGAAATGTTTCATAATTTCATCACTCAAATACAGAAGAATCCTGGTCAACTTTTACGGTAAAAATATATATGTAAATATTAATTAGATACTATATTATTATCAAATTTTATGTATATATATATTATATTATTCTTTAGATATTCCCGAGATAATTCTGCACCATTATTATTATATCCTATCAGTGGGTGTGTTGGGAAATGTAGACATTGCGGAGGTGAAATGACATTTGAAGTTCAAATTTTGCCTACATTGATTTCCAAATTAATACTTCAACCACGAGTTGAAAAAAATTTTCAAATTGAATTTGGAACTGTTTTAATATATACTTGTATAAGAAGTTGTTGGTCTCCAATGGATTTATACAGGGAAGAGCATGTTATTGTTCAAGCAGAAAAATTATAGTGATATTACAATTAAAAATAAATTTAATAGAATTCCAAACTTCCAATTTTAGAAAAACTATAGTTGAATTTTTTTTTAGAAGAATACCGTCCACCTTTTGTGTATACTTTAGAATTCATAGTACTGGTGTATAAAAATAAATCTCTAATTCCTATAATATAAGATTCATTGAAAATACCTCTTTAAAATGTTATGTTAGGATAATTATAAAAAAGAGATCTTATTTTGCTTTTAAATTTAATGTGTACTAGTATAAGAAGGAATATTATATACTACTACTTACATATAAATATATAATCATTAAAAAAATGTTTGTTTATTCTTTATTTATCATTTTAACATTATTTTTTACAATGTATATTAAAAACAAAAATTAAATTATTATAAAAACTATATTAAATATTTAAAATGTTTTAATCAAAGGATGTATCATGGAATATTCGCGTTTTTCATATATAAAGTCCATTGCACTTGTGTAACACTGATCACCATTAAATAATGGACCATTCTCTATAATTTTTGAAATTTCACATATTTTAGAATGTGCTACAAATGTCATTTTAAGTGCTACTTCTTTTTCAAGATCTGCATTTCGAATACCACTGCGATATGATTTTGAAGAACGTGATAAGTTAGCAAATGTTCCATATATTTCTGTTAACATTTCAGTTAATCTTTCTAAATCTATATATTGTTCTACAGACTGTGATCCACTACGTTCCAGTAATATTAAAATACTGTTTTTCAATCTATCTATACAATCTTCCATATATCTACTAGCATGAGCTAATGATGGATGAAGATATTCATCAGCATTTAATTTTGAGTTATTTCTTTCAAATATTGAATTTAGCATATTATAAAAAGGAAATTGAAAAATATTTCTTTTTTTAAATATATGATCAGCCATTGTCTGTCCAATATTTTGTACAATACGTCCTGCTGCATATGTACTGGCATCTAAATTATTTATATCCATTGTTGTTAGAGCCATAGCATCATGAAATGCTTTTATATATGATTTATTATTCATATAACCTTGAGCACCAACTAATTGCAGTCCTATTTGAATACATTTTAAACACTTATTTGCACAATATGTTTCAGTAAGAATATGCTCTAAATCAGCATCTATAATTTCATATTCATCTATCATTCCACTTGTAAGATATGTCATACTTTCCATAGTATACAAAGAAAATATTATTTCACTTAAAGTTTTTTTCACAACATCAAATTGATATAAATCTCTATCATAATGCCTCATTTGTAAAATATCAGGTATTAATATATTTATAAAGTTTCTTAAAATACTAATTGCTTGAGCAGATATATTTTGCTGTCCAGGCTTTAAATATTCCATTAATATTTTAAATCCATCACCTAGTGTACCAATGATATTTTCACTAGGTACAATTGTATCATTAAAATTAATTGTACAAGTAGGTATTTCACATCTGCCAATTGTTTCATATACATTTGTACAATTTATATTTCCAAAATCATGTTCAATTAGAAATAAAGAAAATGAATCTGTTCCAGTTATATTTGAAGATATATGTTTTGCAAAAACTAAGAATAGATTAGAATCTACTCCATTAACAACATAATGTTTTTCACCACTTAATAACCATGAATTTTCTTTACCTTGTATAGCAAGAGTTTGAATGCTATTGATATTTGCTCTACGATCACCTTCATATACACATATTGTAGGAATCATTTCACCACTCATAATTTTTGGATAATATTTCATTTTTTGACTTTCTGATCCATATTTAGAAATTATTTGAAGTGGTGAAATATGATTTTTTACTATATATGTACCTAACCAAGGTAAAGTACTTAGTGTTTCTATTAATTTCAATGATTCTGAGTTTGATAAAGTTAAACCAAAATATTCTTCACTAATATGTGTTCGAAATACTTCAAGTTCTCTAAGTTGATTTAATATCTGATTTTTATCTAATTTTTTATTAACACAACTTGACATATAAATTTCAATTGGTTTTAACCATTTAAAAAAATCATTATATCTAAGAGATATTTGTTCTGGATAAGTGAAAACTTCACTATTAACAGTTTTTGTAAGTAGAGCTGTTAAAAAGGATATTCTTTGCGGTTTTTTTTTTGGAAGAGGTTCAAATTGAGTTTCCCGATAATTAATATGAGAATCAATAACTTCACTTAAATATTTTTTTAATATATAATTAGATTTAAAATTAAAAATTTTATTACTTTTTAATAATTTTCGTGAATACATTATTCAATATAATTATATATAAAAATATAAAAAGAAATCTAAAATATGTATATGATAAAATAGCATTAATGTGGATAAAATAGTATTAATGTAAATATTATAATAAATCACTGTCTACGATTTTAATTACACATTAGACAGAAGATATTACATATATATATATATATATATATATATATAGTATGTATCATTTAATATATTCCATGTTTAATGCTAATAGTATAAAAATAAAAAGACTATACTATTACTATTTATCAGAATTGTATAATTCATTTTATGTTTACAAAATAATATGTACATTTTATATTATATATTTTCAAATATTTATTATTTGTAAGACAAGAAATATTTATAATATATAATATAATAAGTTTAAAATAAGTCTAAAAAAAACCATTTAAAATTTAATCTAATATAGGGATTTTTTATTTTAACTGAAAAGTTTACTGTACTTACTATAATACTATACGTGTATTAAAGATGGCTTAAAGAAAAGTTATAGTTTAGATTGAGAAATGTATCGCTTTATGACGAAGTGAAATGTAATTTTCTTTTTCTAAATAGTAACAAATATATATTCAGTCATGTCATATTTAAATCAACCCGATTGTGTACATTATGTATGTAATTGTGGTTCTTTAAAACCAATTTCGAAGATTTATTTCTGTAGGCACTGCTCCAAAATTCGTTGCGGATATTGTGTCTGTCAAGAGGTATAATTTATTTTATTAAATATACATATAATGAGTGTCAAATTATTTTATTTATTTATTTTATTTAATTATTTATTTATGAAATAAAACTATAAAAATTTATATAAATTTTATATGTAAAAAAAATTTTTAATTAATAGGTTGATTCACATTATTGTCCTAACTGTATGGAAAATTTACCGTCATCAGAAGTTCGTCTTAAAAAAAACAAGTAAGTTTTAAATAAATGTGAAGTTTTAAATATATAATTATTTTATTAACTTATAATGTCTTACATTTTTTTTAATAGATGTTCAAATTGTTTCAAATGTCCGTGTTGCTTTCAAACATTATCTACAAGAGCTGGACATGTACCTTTAAGAGTAATACCAATTGAAGGAGAAGATTCTAAAGATATAAAAACAACACCTAAAAAAGTTTATTATTTATTTTGTTCACTATGTCGATGGACATCTAGAGATGCTGGTATACCAGATCAATCTGTAGGTATGTTTATTCAAAATATTATAATTTACAATATTTTTATATCTTATATATATAAATATGTTTTAATATTAAAATAATATATGTTAATTAGCTACAGGAGGTTGGCCTGAACAAGAAAATCCTCATACAAACCGGATTAATACTTTAATTGATTATCATAAAATATTAGCTTCTATAGAAAAACAGCAATGTGAGAAAAAGAAATTTCGACCAAAGCGTCCTTATATGCAAATTGTAATAAATTTAAAAATTAATTTAGAAAGAAACCTATTTTAATAATGTGATTTAATTTTTTTATTGTCATTTTAGGCTATGTTTAGAATAACATCTGCTATGGTTCGTAAACGTATTGGACATCCTACAAAACCTGCTACTGAATCAACTGATCAACCATCTCCAGCTGTTGCTAGTACAGAAGTAGAGGAATTACCAATAGATATTTTTACAGAACCAATAGAAATAACCAAGAGTAGGTAGTATTTATTTTTATCAAAATATTTTTTGTTATTTTAAGAAATAAAAAGAGAATATCAATTTTCAAATATTAGTTACTACATTGGAACAACGATTACAACATCCGGATATACAAGCAGAAAATGTAAATGAATTACGTCCTCAACATAGACAATTGTTAGTTAGAAGATCACAACGATGCCGAGTTTGCGAACATAATCTCTGTAAACCAGATTTTTGTACACACTCTGCAAAGTTTAAAATACAATTAGCTGCATTGTAAGTTTATATTTTATAAATTCTTATCTTTAATATTAATTTATCTATATTTTTATTATAGTTATCATGTACCAGAAGTAAGGATTGTTACTTGTGAACCACTTCGTCCAGGTAAATCAAGTGAATTGCTTTTAAAGTTTTGCAATCCAACTCAACATCAAACTCAGATAATACTTTTATCATTGGATACACCATTGACACCTATTTTAACAGCTGTTGATGAAAAAGAAGAACTTAAGCAAGAAAATATACAACAGGTAAATATTTAATATTTTCTAAATTATATTATTTTTTAATATTGCAATAATTCCAGGGATCTGAATCTCCAAATTTATTACCTTCTATCGTGCGACAAGTGCCTGTAGTAGAGGAAACGAAATCTATTAAAATTAATGCAAATGCAGATATAATTCTTCCTCACAGCGCTCTTATTTTGCCTCCTAGAGATGATGCTGCTGAATATGATGATACTGGTGATACTCATAATTTTCAAGATGATCCTAAGTATGAATTTTTGTTTGTTTTTATAATTTGGAATATTTAATAATATACTAAGAATCTAATTTGTCTTTTTTTGAAGGCTTGTAATTTGGCGAAAAGGTAATAAAGCTGTAATAAAATTACATGTAATACCACATGAAAATATACAAGAAGGTAATAGTCAACCAGTTATAATTGGCTTTGTTATGCAGTATGGATATGTGAATACTATTACTACATTAGAACATAAAGCACCTCAAAAATTAGATCTTAAAGTTAAACTTTATCTTACTATAGGCAATATTGTTGGAAGTGCTTAATCTTATATCATATGAACATTAATATTTATAAATATTATAAAAATGAGTTCAAGTAACTTCAGTAACTAATATGCATTCTCAGGCTACACACATATATTTAATATATATTATTTATTATTTAAATGTTAATTTTATAATGAAAAGTCATTAATAAATGCATAATTTTCCTAATATTGAATTTAAGAAAAAGTTTACTATATATAATTAGCATATAAACTTTTCAAAATATAAAAATGAATAATAAATATTATAAGTGTATTATATTTTGTACTGATTTTTTATTATTATTTAATATTAAATAATCTATTCATTATGTAAAATTTCTTTACTATTTATATATATATATATATATATATATAAATATGCCACATTTATTTTTTAAATTTTTATTTTTGAAAGTTAATAAACCATACATAGAAATATAATTTATAATCTCCGACCACGACGACCACCCTTTCTACGAGTAGAATCAGATGGAATTGGTGTGACATCTTCAATTCGACCAATTTTCATACTAGAACGTGCAAGTGCACGTAAAGCAGATTGTGCACCTGGACCAGGAGTTTTTGTTTTGTTACCTCCTGTTGCCCTCAATTTAATATGAAGTGCTGTAATTCCAAGAGATTTACATTTCTCTGCTACATCCTATTAAAAATAAAAATATTATTTTTAAAATGTTAAATTTTATTATATATGTAACTAAACATATAGTTTTAGCTGTATTATAAAATATAAACTGTATTCTTCTAGATATAGAAATGATTCATGCAGATACACTTCTAGTTAACAAGAAAGAAATTTATTTTACCACATACATGAACGCTCCTAATATTAAATAATGTTACTTAGAAGCTGCCTGAATGTGGATAATTGATATATATTATAATTTTACCTGAGCAGCAAGCATAGCAGCATATGGAGAAGCTTCATCACGATCTGCTTTGACTTTCATTCCACCCGTAACTCGCGCAATGGTTTCTCTATAAGAAATAGTTATATTAATTTTTGAAAAGAAAACAATTTATTTAAAATTTCAATATACCTTCCAGAAAGATCTGTTACATGAACGAATGTATCATTAAAACTTGCAAAAATATGAGCAACACCAAAAACAACTTCTCCTTCACGCAATTGAGGTCCGAGAGATACTTGAACCTCTTCTTTTTGTACCTTTCCTCTTTTCGGCGGCATTTCTACATCAAATATTTTTTTATTCTTTTAATAAATATATATATTTGTTATAAATATAAATAAAAATAGTTATAAATAATTGTAAATTTTAGATTTTAAAGTTAAATGAGATCTTAAAATTATTAATGATTCAAACAATTTTGATTTTAAGGTTATGTTTCATGACAGAGATTCAGGCTGTGTACAAAAATCTCATGACATAAAATTAAGCCAACAGCATCTTAGCATTTAATGAATAATAAATCAATAATATAAATACAAATTATTTAAATATATTTATTTCACTTATTTAATATCTTATTTTTTAAAGAATGACAATTTTTTTTACAAAATAGCTTTAAATCAAACTTACCGTAATTCCTTGATATAACGCGACCGACGCAGCAGCTAAAGGAAGGTGACTTCCGGTGTATAATAATCGAATCGATAGTATCGAAAATCGAAATATAAATTACTACATGCGTATAAATAAAATAAAATAAAATCTAATAAAAATATATCTTTTTTGAAGGGAGCAAATAATTGTTATAAACATTAAATAAATGCAAAAACTTAATTTATTTTAATACAAAATATAATATAATTTTCGAAGAAAGAACTTTTAATAATAATTTATGTTTTAAAAAAAATCTCCTTTATCTCTTTTATAACAATTATATTTTAATTTTATTTTTTTTAGATTCCATATAATTTTCTAATATATTTTGATCCTGTAGTTGTAAAAATATAGTAAAAATAATAATAGAATAATTATTAATATTTATAAAAAATTTTTTTTTGATTTTAACAAATTATTAGAATTTACCTGTTTTTTTGTCTTCCTTTTTTCAATTCCATCAATTTTTGATGAAATTTTCTTTGCTGTAAATTCTTTTGTTTTATTTCTTACACAACTACCTCCTCGTGAACCTCGACCTCTTGTCGATCGTTCATCTTTTTTGGTTTTCGGAATCATATTTCTTTTTTCATCTTCGTCGCTAAGATTATCTGAATCAATTTCAAAACATTCTGCCTGATTTTTTATATTATTAAATACTGTTTGTATCTAAAAAGCAATAAGCAATAAACAATATTATGTACATAATTATAATTATAATTATAAACGACATAAATTTCAACTTTATTTCTATTACAATAATTTTTTTAATTTTTTTTAATTTAAATATACCTCTATTTTATCTACCTCCATTGTATCTTCTTTTTCTTCTTCTATCCTTTTATCCCTAATATTTTTAATTTCATTTCGAATACTTTCAGAAGTGTCAACTTCACAAGTTTCCAAATGTGTAATTGTTTTATTCATTTGATGATTTACAATACCTTTGAAAGCATCTAAATCTCCCATGTTAACAAATCGATTTAATGCTTCGTTTAAACCATTAACAGTTAATACTGTTAATTTATCTTTATTTTCTTCCAAACTGAAATGCTTCTTTATACCTCCTTGTACAGTTTTGTTCCAATTTTTTTCATTCTAAAAAATTTATTTAAAAAATAGTATAACAATAATATAATATAAATTTATTTAAAAAATATGATAACAATAATATTATTATTAATTTTTATTTACGTCGTCAAAATTGAAAATTTGTGCCATATCTTCAAGATCATCTTCGAGTGAATTTGAAGAGTTTGATTTCTTGTTGACATTTTTTTGTTTACGAAATATAACTATATCCATAGGATTAGCAACTTCATCGCAATATTTTTGTGTTAATCTGAAATTTTATTCTTTTATATTTGCTATAAAATGAATTCTTATAATGAATTAATTTAAAAGTTTAAATAAAAATAAATTTTACTTTATTTCATCAAAAATTTCTTCATCAGAGTTATAAAATATTCTTAAACGTAATAAAGGTAAAATAGGTTGTTTGGGATGACCAGATAGTTGAAAAGCAGCTTTAGGCATAAGTTCATTTTGTATATAATTATCAATAAATTTGAATACTGATTCAGAAAGTGTCTCAGCATAATTTTTTGGTATTTCTTCATCTTTAAGAATTAAATTATCAAAAATAAATGGTCTAACAGTTTGCAGTTTCAATTTTTGTAATTTAAATTTCATTTTATTTACAGTTAAAATACCAATATGTTTGGGTTTTGATTCACCTTCACATAAAGAGGTAGCAATAGAACTTCCTACAATTTTAATTTTTAAGTATATATAAGTATATATATATTTATAAAATTTATATCCATAATGTTTATAGCATAATTGAAACAATATAAACAAATTGTGTATACCTGGTTGTGAAATAAAATATTCAACATCCGGAATAAATTCTGGAGTTATACGACATTCATGTTCATGACCCCATATAATAAGATTAAGAAATTTAGGTAATTTATTTTGTGGAATATATGTATATTCATCATGTTTTACGCGATTTTGATGTAAAACAAATATATTGAAGCAATCTGTTATTTCTGTTGGGCGTAACATATCTATCTACAAAAAATTTATATTAATTTATATTAATTAAAAAAATATATACATCAACAAATATATATAATTTTTTTCTTTTAATACTTTTTCATAATTTTACCTTAAAATCTCTTAACAATCGAGATAATCTTTGATCATTTATATAACTCAAACCATATAATGCAATATGAGTTTCACCTTTTTTTATAATTAAAGGAGGAATATTTATTTTAGTAAGGTCTGTCCATTTTCCAAAATAATTTATTAGACCAGATACTGATAATAAGTCCATTGATCCAATAGCTCCAAAGCCTATTATTTTATTAATATTAAGAAATGAGTAAAAACAATGTTATAATCATATTACATTTGAAAGATTAACATTGTATTGTTTACTTGGATCATCATGATTTCCATGAATAGAAAATATTGGCATACTAATATTTAAATTTGGATCTTCATAATTTACAGTTTTATAAGCACAGTGACGAAATATGACTTCTGGGTCACTTAAAAATTGAATTTTAATTTCTCTAATAAAAAATGTATATTATAAATATATATATTATAAAAATATCATAAAAATTTACATTCTAATAAAATATATAAAAAATGATAAAATTATTATTTACTTTGTGCCTAAACAATATTTTCTTAATAGTTCCATGCATTTTAATATTGCAGTTTGTGATGGCTTGGTATCATGAAATAAATCTCCACCAAGAAGTATAAAATCTACTTCATATTCTTTTCCATATTGAAGTATTTCTTCAAAAGTTATAAAACTATCTTCTGATTGTTGTCCTTAATTAATAAAAAATAATTTAAGTATAATATTCTAAATAAAAAGTATATTTCAATAATAAAAACGATAAATTTTTTAAAATAAATAAAACAGTTATGAAATAATAATAGACACTAACCTCTTTTTTTATTATATTCAAAACCTAAATGAATATCGGTTGCAATTAAAATTTTAATTGAATCATCTGGATTTGTTTTTTCATTTGTATTATTAATTGGCGTAGAAGACATTGTATATATTAAATATTTTAAATTTATCAAGAATTATAACTTTGTTTCACTTGATTAGTAATTATATACTATGTGTGTTTTTAAAGCAAAATAAAGTATCTAATAAAAAGTCAATATATTTAAATATTATCTATTGTTGTATTTTCCTCTTGTTAAAACATAACATAAAATATCAAACAAATATATAACAAGAGAAAAGATTATTATTTATATGATAAAATTATAATATTACATAAAAGTCCGAAATTTGCTTCAATAAATGTATTGTGATTGGATAAAAATATTACTAAAATTAATTAGTAAATATACTAGAATTAGTAAAAAAAAATCGCAAGTATCGATTGAAATTATAAAAAAATGAAAAAATTCAATAATTATAAATAATGTTTATCATATAATGTAAATTCAAATATTTTAAATTTTTATTTAAATATTTAAATAAAACAGAAGATATATTTTTATTAAAAATATTTAGATTATTATTAAAAACATTGTTTTATTTATATAATTTTTAGAGTAAAATTAATCTATTAAACATATAATAATTAAAACATTTGAAAAATTCAATTAATTTGAGATTCATTAATATAATTTAGATGTAATTATAAATTTAAAAAAATATATTTTTAATTTAAAAAACATGATTTAATTTAAAATTAAATATAATAAATATAAATTTTTCAATTCAATAACAATATTTTATGAAAATATATAAAAAAATAAAAAAAAAATAATAAAGTCATGATATAATTTATTGGATACGAAATATAATATTACATGATAATGAAATTATTATAATTTTAAATTGATTTTCAATGAGAATATATTCAATATTATATTGCAATTTTTATTTAATATTATATTTCATATGCTTTAATTTAATTTATAATAAAAAAAAAATATTTTCAGAAAAAAATATTTTATATTTGAATTACCGCGAAAATGCCAGTGCGAAATCCGAAATATTCCGATTATGACCGAAATAGTGACACGGGTAGGGGTCGTTGGGATGGCGTTACGATCGCCACCTAGCGGTCAGTCGGCAGTCGTTGCAGCGAGGTGCAGGAGGAGGTTTGCTCGCCATATTTGTTGTTGTCGTCGATGGGGTAGCCTAGCTGGAGTTTTGTTCTAGTGCAGTGGTGTAGTGCGTAATTCTAACGTAAAGTATTACGATTATTTGTGTGCCCGTGTCGGGCTTAACCTTCGTGGAAGGTACTGTGGACACGGTGCAAGATGTCTCTTACATAAAACTGGTGGGGCAGTGGTGGCTCAGCTGTCCTACTCTGTTGTCGAGTGCGCCGTTTTATGTGTGTATGTGTGTATACATATAATATACATGTTTGTGTACTATTCCCCATTCTGTTCTGGTTCCGTACTGTTCGTTCGGTAGTGCTAGTAATAGTAATAATAGTAGTAGTAGTAGAAGGAAAGAGGGGTGTGAAGTGCACCAGTGACGGAACGGTAAACTTGTTAGAGAGGGTGAGGTAAGCAGGAAAAGGGTTAGAATCCATGTGTACAAAAGGTGTGAAAGATGGAACAGTGAGACATACGGGCTAAGAGATGTAAGAAAGGAGAGGGGTTGCTCCCCTATGCGGGGTCGGGGTCGTCGCACGTTCTTGACGTGGGTCTGTCGACCCGCCAAGGTCCTTATGCCTCTGTCTGTCGCGTCACTGATATGCTCGTGTCCCTCTTTCGAATTTTTTTTGCTCTTTCTCTTGTGCGAAAATTCAACTTAACCTAATCTTTTCTAACCTTAATTTTATGTTGTACATTTGACATTCGCCACAAACTACATATATATTTCTTTATTGACATATCAAACATTATTTTTTTTATTTGTCTTTTTACATCGTACTATTAACATCATTATGTATATCAACATTCAAATGTGTTTTTATTCTTTTTTTTCTACTTTTCGTGTATACTCATAACTGGCGCGAAATTATTCAAAATATTGAAGTGATACTTTTATAAACGAAAAATCAATACGCTTCTTTAAACATCGAAACGTGAATCAGCTGTTCCTATTCTATCTCATTTCAAACAATTTAATATTTTCGAATATTTATTGTTATATTTAATATTTGTTAATTTTTTTCAAATTTAGGCAATAGATTATTAATTTCGATTAATAACAATTTATAGGATTTAATTGATCAATGTAATTGAATATCGTGTGTATATTTCTATTATCATATCATTCTAATATTATGCAAACAAGTATCGAAGAGAAGAAAATATAAGAAATATAAATACTTCGCATAATATTTTGCAGAAAGTTATTATTTATACATTTATATGATTAATGCTTTGCAATCGATGTTAAAAAAACGTTGCAATAAAAAAAAGATATTTAATTATTAATTAATATCCGTTTCAATTTGTATATTATAGGATTAATTTTCGATAGTTTGTTACATAAATTTATCTTCGGAAAATAAGCAAAAATATATATATATAAATATATAGAATTGAAAAGTGAAAGGTGACCTTCCTACGACATCACGGACAAAACATGACGACGATAATGACGAACAATATTTGAAAATGTGATCGAGTGTTTTGATCCGATTAATGTCATTAATATTTGTATATATATATTAAATGATATTAACAATAATGCCAATCGAATTTTGAAGTTAAAAGATTTTATAATTAATATTTTATTGTTGACAATTAATAACAATAATAAAAAGTATTTAAATATTTAAATATTATTTAAATATTAAAATATCAAATATTTTTCTTAAATTTTATGTATTTTTTTCAATTATAATATTAAATTATAATATAATATTGAGAAAAATAATTAAATTTTTTGTAAATGAAAAATTTCAATTACACACTACAATAGAGGATGATATTGTAATATTGCGTTTATACCGATTTGAAGAACAATTAAAAGTAGTGCTTATTATAGTTGTGCAGCAGATAGATCTAATAAAAAGAAACTATCGGATAGACACATAATTTATCATATCATATGCAAAATATCATTTCAATTTCTTTTCTTTTCTCTCTTTATCTCTTTTTTCCTTTTTTCTACAAATATTATTTAAACAATACATGAAGTCCTATTTTATTTCGAATTTATTATTATTTTTATTGCACGTATGATATAGTTTTATTGTTTTCATTTTGTGATTGTTTATTGTTAATATAGCATTGTATATGTTGTTTATTATTTTTTTATATAAATTATTAAAATTAATTAAAAGAATTTTAAAAAAGAAAGGAATTCTCAATATTAATTTCTTAATAAACTTTAGAAGATTGTGTTCCATTTCAAAAATTGAAGAAAAGAGATCCAAATTCTTTTTTTAATTGCTTGCTAATTTTATTACAATCTATAATTGTATAATTTAATATAATATGCAATGTATAATTTATTATAATTTTAATTATGAAATGTTGTATAATTGGAAAGAAATTATTTTACAAAGTTGTTTTATTTAATGCTTGCATAATCATAAAAAGTATTAATTATTAACATTTGTACATATTATTAAATACATGTAGAAACAAATTGTATTTTGAAGAAAATAATATTATTCATTCATCATTAAATATATTATATTATTTGTCCATAATTATTTGTTATTATTGTTATTATTACAAGCAAATGATGCATTCACTAAATAAAATATCAAAATGGAAAAGGATTTGGATTTTTATAAATAAAAAACAACATATACGATTCTTCCATCCAAAATAAAAGAAACATAATTCGACTTCCTAAATAACTTCGAAAAATATTCTCCCACAGGCGGCGATTCGCGTGGGGCACAGGGTTGAAGGGTTTGTTCGTCAAACGGTGGCTCGGCTTGTAAGAGACGGCGACGGTATCGTCGCTTCGTGATCGCGGTGGGGCCGTCGTCGGAGCACGGTGGTCGTTCGGGGGCGCAGTGGCTCGTAGTATCGCGCGTGCCGATTCGTACGACAATTAAAACTGGCGGGCAATCTGGCTCGGTCTCTGGCGGGCAGTCTGGCTCGGTCTTTGGCGGTGGGTGGTAGCGGCGGCGGCAGCGGTGGCGGTGGAGGCAGTGGAAGCGGCGGAGGGGGTGGTGGCAATGGGAGCAACAACGGTGGAAATGGGGGTGGCGGTGGATCCGGTGGCGGTGCTCGGGGCGCAGAGCCTGCTGCCGCTTCCGCCGTATCCGTAGCCGTGGATAATGTCGCTGGTCAACCGAGCGGTCCGCAGATAATCGAATGGGAGGAGACCGATCGTTATTCCTTCGACGACTCTGATCGCTTCGAAGAGGATTCTTTGTGCAGCTGGAGCAGTGAGCCAGAGTCGTTGTGCAATAACTGGAGAGGATGGCGACGACCCACCGCCGGTTTTGGCACTACCAAGAAGCCTATGGAAGGTGAGTGAAATTTTAAATTTTTTCTTTCTTTTTTTTTTTTCATATGTTAAATGATTTGATATAGAGCGATAATTATTTACAAAATAATTGTTTTCATCAATTTTAATTACTTTGAAATATGTTATCAAAGACAATATTTTGAACACGTTTCCTTGAAAATCATTGAAATCAATGAAGACAATTATTTTTGTAAATAATTATGCTACAACATATTTAAAATTTGGTGGTTGTTTAAAGTCAAGAAAAATATTTATCTGAAAAATAAAAAGAAAAAAAAGTATTATTACTAAGATAATTTGTTGGTAAGGGATGATAACTTTAAATGATTAGTTCATTTATATTTATTTTTATTAGTTTCATTAGTTCATTTCATTTAGATTATGATAGTTAATTTGATCACTAGTGTATATATAGAGATTAAATTTTAATGTAATATATGTATATAATTGAATCATTTTGTATAATTATATATAATGTGATACAAATGTAGCAGGAAAGCTTTTTTATGATACACTGAAATTTCGTAATTTATTATTTTGAAATATCCTTAAATTTAATTGTAGATGTATGATCCAATATAGTAGTCCATTATCTTCGGTAGTTTTAAAGGAATGCATTGTCACTGCGTTTGCAAGATGAACGTGTAGCAATGCATTATAATTCTCGCGTCTCTTTAAGCGTCACATAAGATGCCCGCATATCCTATGACGCATACAAATTCCACGACCCGTTGGCTCGAATAAGCAAGGTTAATGATTTCCCATCTTCCTGATGCATCGTCACGTTTCTTCATGTTATTTCATTCTTACTTATCTTCTTAGCTTTCGCAATTATTAACGTTAAACTTTCCATAGAGGAGATTCGATGATTTTAGATTGATCGATATCGATTTTTTTTTTTTTTATTAGCGCCATCCATTAACTTAATAAAGCTTTCACTATGCGAAATACGTTTCTTCGCTTTTCTAGTGAAAATATTTCTGTGGGAGAAAGTAGGTATAATAATAAAAAGCGGAAAGTTTAAGATATTATATTTCAATCCAAATGGAATGTTCTTAATTCGAAAATTTACCGAAAATCCTTATTAATGTAAATTGAATAGAAGAAGTGTTGAAGTGGGATGGTTGAAGTTTTTCTTTTGAGGGTCTGTAATTGAGTTGGCACGTGGCCAACGTTCACGCGCAACGTAAATTACTTTCTTACTGTTGCTCAGGAACGTATGTTACACCATGTAATAATAATTTGCTACATGGTTGCATGTTATGAGTTGAAGCATAAAGTCAATTATTTTACCGCAATTTGATCACATTTTGCCTCCCTGTAAAAATATATTTTTTGCAGTTACACAATTTTTTAAGTGATGACATTTCGTGAATAATTAAAAAAATAAGTTTTATACGATTCGATTTATTATTGCAATTGAATGCTATCATTTCTCATATATTTGTTTTTTGTATAGCTGATGCATTGATAATGAGCAAAAATATAGATCTACATACTATCAAACTAATACGCGATATCTTGTCTTCACGTAAATAATGTTCCTAATTTTTATCTCATAGTTATAAGATTGGAGAAAATCATTAACAAATATTGTTTCATAATATCGAAATTTTATCAGACATATGAGATAGTGATAAATGAAAATATATTGTATATGCATATTATGTTCGATTCCATCTGTAATCTAACTTGTTGAACATTGGATAAATTCAAGAAGCTGAAATATCTTTTTATTTCTTTTTCTTTAATCTTTTATCATAAATATAAAAATAAAATTATTTTTAAAAATTGATTAACACAATGTCATTAAAATTTATTTTAATATTTCAAAAGAAAATTAATCAAAAGTAGATCAAATTTTTTGATTGAAATAAACAGTTTGTGCAGCCGTGTTCGTGTCGTTCTCTAGTTTGCACACGCATATATATATGAGAGGGGAAGTTAGATTTCACTTCATCCTCGCTGCTTCTCCCTGGAATACATATATACTCCTTTCCTTTTTCTCCACGGTCCTTGCTCCATGGCGAAGCGATCAAGGCCGAGAAAAAGACCAAACAGAAAATAAGAGAGAATGAGAGAGAATTGTATTCGCTCTCATTTGCTCGCGTAAACACTTCTCGTGCATTTAAGATTTTGTACTTGCTGCCTCTGCTAACGTTGAATGTTATCAGACGAAATAGTTTACCGTTAAAATATATTAATTATATGCGTGTTGGTGAATTCCTTTGAAAATGTTCAATCAGTGAATTTTAGGATGATGACGAAAGTAATTTTGGTGGTGAATATAGCAGAAAAGAGTTAATAAGTTTGGATGCATTATGTTATAATAAAATCATCGAATAGTATTAGCATAGTTAAAAGAAGAGAAATAAAAAAGAAGAGAGTTTGAAAAAATATTGTTAAAAGTAAATAAAAAAATAAATGATTTAAAATTTTTAAATTCTTTTCAAAATATTCGATTTTTAAATTATTATTAAGTATTGCTTATTATATTTATATAAATTATAAATATAATATTATAAATATTATAATAATATAAATAATATAAACATTAACATTATAAATATTAATAATATAAATATTAATACATACCTCTATTTTTTATTTCATTCGTGTCTCTTTCTTTTCACATTGATTTACAATTTAAAATTAACATGATACTTTTTAAGATTGTGAAAATGTTCATCTTTTAATATCAGAAGATACCAGGATGTTATAATGGTTGTTCCATTAAGAGTTTATTTTTAGGTACGATCCATTTGTGATGACGGAGAAACACCATTCCAAATGTGTTGTGCTTTAATTTTCCATTAATAAGCATACATACATGCATGTAGAGTTTTGAACGGTTTCTCTAGCTGTTGGTTACGACATGTTTCCTTCTTTTATTTCATGAGGCCATCCTTCAGAATTGCGACCACGTAGAGAAAGTATCTCATTTTACTTTCTCAGCGCATGCGCGTACGCGACGCGCATACATTTAGAAAGTACGTTGTTCCCGGAGACGTGTTCCTTCTGTCATTACATGATCGGTCACGTCAGTTTTCCACATGACCAGGCGATTACTTCTGCCTAGAATTTTCAAGGTTATCGTTCATCTACAACTATCGTCATGCGAGAATAATTTGCTACTTTCTGACACATGTTGATGCGCATTATGAATTCTTGTTTTCCATTGATATGATTCTTCACGAATAGAATATATATGATTGTTCTACGCATGCGCAAATGAATCGTTATGGAAATGCTCATTTCATATAAAAATTAACCTCTATTTAATTTTTCAGATTTCAAATTTAAATTAAAAAATTTAAATTCAAATTGAGATTACATCAAAGATTTAAAATTTATTCATCATTTGCTCATCAATGCAAAGGAAACACTTTATTATAGTCTATTTGGATTAGATCTGATGATTCATTACGATAATCAAACCGATATTGTTCCGATTTCATTAACGATCGTGTGACAAGCAATGGCGATGACATCATTGTATTACCTGGTATATAGCAAGTGAGCAATTCTAGCACACATCTATGACATTCGTATATCTATTTGAAAGCTTGACAGTCGAGACAGTGTACGGTCACGCGCGCAATACCATCCGGATTTCAATTAGACTAATGTATCGGCAGCGTAGCAAGAAGAGAGTATGTACGTTCTCGCCTCTTTGCATCTCTTGCATAGAGCATGATCTCTTATTGAACAAGTAAAATAAACAAATTATACTTTAAATTGTAGCTTATATTGATAAAATTTCAAAGTGCATTACGTTGATTGTTATTTAAATATTAAAGAAATTAATCTTTAATCTAATTATATATAAAATATATATGTAATAATTATTAGATTTTTTAGAATATTTGATGAATTTATGAAAAAGTAGATATTAATATTAATTATTACTATCTAATAGTCTTTCTATTGTATTAACACACATGATGACTAATGGGAGAACAAAAATCAACTTCATGAAATATAATAGTTTTTTTTAATTATTTTTCTATACTTTTAATTTTCTGAATTCCTGAAAATTTCATTTAGCTGATGTAGTAAATTCAAAAGGGCAGTCACATTCTTTTGTCTGGTTGTGTTATGGAAGATTTTTTTCTATCAATAATACGAGACAATTATTGATGATATATTTATGTGTGTAATAAGTAAATGTAATTGAGATTTAAAATATCTCTTGAATACAAATTTGCATGATGTTTCAGAAAATGATTTTCTAAAATTTATGTTTAATCAATTGTTAAAATTAGAAATAAATTGAAATTCGAATTGAAACTTCAATTTGAAATTTTGACAACTTGAAATTCTTAAAATCTAAACTCCTTATATATTTTTATTTTTTTTAAAGAAGTAAATACCTATCTGTTTTGTTAATTACAATTTTATTAAATTTCAATTTTTGAAATTCTTCAAATTCACTTTAATTACTTTTTTAGTTTGCAAAAAATTATATTTTATTTTTTAAATAAATTATAATAACTAATGAATAAATTTTTGAATAGCCTATCTTTAATATTTTTCCAATAATCTTTCGTCAATTTTACATTTGCTTCACTTCACGTATCTAGTATCTGTAAAAAGAAAAAAAAAATTTATATAAAATGCTCGATATCAAAAAGATTAAAAATCGGATCTCTTCCTTGTATTCATGTCTGTTGTGGAAAACAATGGTGGATATTGGAGGATATATTGCTAAGAGTAGAAAAAGAAACAAAAGAAGGGGAAGGTTAAAGCAAAAGAGAGAGCTAGTAACGAAGGGATGAGAAGTGGAGCGAGGAGAAGATGAGAGGGACGGCGAGGGTAGAACGACCCGTTACTCGAGGGTGGTCGCAAGAGATGAAAAGCAGGGCTGAAAGAAAGCTTTCACTAGTCGATGATCATTGTAGCTTACATTTTGCGAACACCCTGCGATTTAACACGAACAACGATGCAAATATGTGTATATTTACTTACTATTCGTAAATAAAATAGTATTAACTGTTATAACATGAATAAATAATTTGATAATATTATGAAAATTATTGATATTATGAAAATGATGAATTGATTGGTTGAATAATTTTTGGTCGGATAGCTTGTTCCATTGAAATAAAATCTTTGTTTAGATAAGATTTAATAAAAATTAGAAGGTGAAGTCTGTGCAATGATTTGTGTAAACCATATTTTGTTGTTGTCTATTGGAACTGATGATTTAATATAGCATCCATGTATTAACGATTCTCATTCTAGTTTTTAAGATTTTAAAATGAAACGATCTGTACTAACTTATCACGCGCTCCTTTTATCAGGCAAACATTGCACCATTGGCAAGCCATTGACAAGATTCTGATTCCAATTTGCTCACAAGCGAGACGATTCGAGCAACACCGATCGAATGGCCGATATCGGATTTGGATAATTCCATTCGTCGTCCAATAATTGAATCTATCCGAGCATATCCAGTTCCACGGTTGGATATTGTTTGGGAAGATCCATTGCAGAAACATCGGCGGAAACGTGCCTGGTTCACGTCTACTTGAAAATATTTTTTAAAGGAAGAAAATCGACCGGATTAAATTCTCCTCCATATTCTCTCCCGGATTCATTTGCATTTTTGTTTCGATTACGTGTTTCCGCCTAAACGATTTCCTGTTTCATGCTACATCCACTGATTGCTTTAATTATATGTAGATATTCCAAAGGATAAACCTGAAGTTTAACGAGAAGAAAGTTGCAACATGGTGTGCTTGTTATGGATTAGGTTTAGATTAGATTCTTGATTTTATTTTAAATTCATTAGATTGTTGTTTCTAGGACATTAAAATGTAAAATATTTCATATAATTATATTTATACTATAATTGATCATTTCTTTTAATTAATATGTTAAGTAAAAATGATATTTTTATTTTTTTTTATATCTTTCTAGTAATATTTTCAATAGGAAATAATAATTTATATGATCTACATTTGAAATATCAATATATATTCTTAAAATTTCTACATTTTCTTATTTTAATTAAAAAAAAACAGGTATAAATAGTTATAAATAGAGTATTATAGCGTAATTTTCTGTGTAAATATCATAGACGTTGAAATAAATATCTATTCTGGAACATCGAGTTTAACCTTACTTGTATACGATACAAAACTGAATGGCAACAAATATTTTTTTTTTAAATTTTAAATAATTGCTCTTTTTCATGTGGAGTATTTCCAAAACATATTAACGGTCATTTTAATATTACTTATTGTTGAACTAGGTTCTTTTCAATTTTAAATATTAAATAATATTATTTAATATTATAAAAATATTATTTTACACAAAAAATATTATTTTACATATAATTTAATTTAACAGGAAAAATCTTTCATTATTCTGATTTTTATTATAATTATTTTACTCAATATCTTTATTTTCTTTCTTCTTATATTGAAACAAATTCACATTTTTCTAATTTCTAGTTATTGAACATCGTCGAAGCTTGTTAACAATCTGCAATGAAACAAACGAGTGAGTTAGATTGGTCACGGATTTTATTAGTTAGTTGGAAATTCGATGTCGATTCTATCGCCGTACCGAATTTATATTTTCGCCATGTATACATAGTTGTATATGTATGCTCTTTCCCGTACGTGGAACGCGAGATTTGCATGCGAAGAACGTGCGTCCAGACGAAAGGGGGATTCTTCTTCCTCTTTCTCCCTTGACTGACAAAAATATTTCGCGCATAAATCGTTTCCATGAGATTCGTGGATGTCACTTTCATGGAAAATTATGTAACTTTTTGATTCATAAGTTATGTTTCTAAATATTGTTTTGTTTCTTTGTTTAAAATGTAATGCTCTATATAAAATAATCAATAGCAATAGTCATTCTATTTATCATCAGTCCATTTATTTCTAAATATTCTAGAAGTTTTTCTTTTCATTATGTTATATGATTTATTTAAACTTTTTCTATAATTTCAAACACATCTACACATCTATTAAAACAATGAAAAAGCCATTAGAGTTGAATATAAAAAACGTTGCTGATTTCATGAAATGTTTTGGTTTCCTTTCGTTTCGATACTTGTTTCATGGATTCATGGTAAATGTAAATTGTCAATCCTTCTCATCGAGGGAGAACATTCTCAGGATAACAGTGATTAATATCTTAAATTCTTGGAAACGTGTGTGCAAGCATTAATGTATTTCAAGTCATCGAGTAATCCGATTAATGAGATTCTAGAAAAATAATGTATTTATGTATTATTATGTATGATATATTAACGATTCTTTCGTTCTTAAGAGACACATTTATTCAAAAAAATCATCAATTCAATATTGTAACCGATATTGCATTATTTTTATCTTTCAAAAATAATCACTTTGATTTTTAATAAATAAAATAAAAGCTAATATCTTTTCAACCGTGTTATATTGCATAAATTACGAGTGAAATTCTAATTCACGTTCGTGTTTCTAACTCCTTCAAATTTCTACGTTATCTGACTGATTCGAATTTGAATGATTCTCGATAGCTTTACGCGATCATCGTTCCACGCAATTGTAATTTTCATTCTCCAGAATAAGAACATTACTTGCTTTCCAGGACGGTTTATACCTTGAATATTCTCCTTATTGAAATAGCTCGACTTTCACAAGCTCATCTGTATTAAATTAAAATCCCTTTAGTTCGTATTTAGCTCGTATTGTTCCAAATGGATTTCATGAATTTTATGGATCGTAATGTGACCTTTTATTCATGGCAATGCATAAATTAATCCTGATTAATGATGCCACGATGTTTCACGCCAAGAATATACTTTGATCTCTTATCGTTCCTTATGGATAATTGATTTATATCTATCATATTTTCGAGGTGGCAACTGACAATTGAAGAATTTGCAGCAAAGGAGATCCATTTTTCATAGTTTTTGAACTATTGTGTTTAATATATCTAGAAAGAAATATAATATATTTAATATTATTTTTGTAGCTTTTATTTTTTTATAATTATTAATTCAATTAGATTTTAATTTAAGTTTGAAATAATTGCTCTAATTAATGATCAGATAGAATAATTTTATATTAAGATTGCACATTTTAGATTATTTCTCATATATCATTTCCATGACAATTTCCTTTTTTATATTTGAATCAATGATTTTCCATCTTAATAATCTGTTTAAATAGAGGAAAAATCAGAAAGTTAGATTGACGATCTCCAAGTATTGTTCGAGGCGAATTCGTTAATAAGGATCCATCGCGTAGAAGGTTCACGCGACTCGGCTTATCGTCGATCGTAATCGCTTACGCCCGGAATATCGAGCCATAAATTCAATTAACCTGACGAGCGCTTGAATTGTCTTCTTGTGCACGGATCTATCGAGTCAACCGAAACTTCATTATCTTGCATCGATGTGTGCTTATCCTTGGGCAATGACCTTTCAAACTCCACACAGCCATACTGCAAAGTGGATAATAAAATCCATATTGCGAAACTTTGATTCGAAATATTGTTTTTATCTAGTTTACTTACCGAGAATATAATTGATTTGAACAATAGGAATTCAATTATGAATATATAATGATGCTTATATATTTATCACTTTAATTTTTTAATTAATTTTTTTTAATTTAGTTTTATTTGAATGTATTATATTTTAATTCTTATGTTTATTCTCTATATTTTGCCTTGTTATACGATTAAAATTTTTGAAAATAAATTTTATACAACTTTTTAATTATGCGAAAAATTAATGTACTTACGTGTTTTACAAATTAATTCTTCCAGAAATTTGAAATAGTCTTATTTATTTTTTGATTTTATTGTTCATTCCTTCAATTCTTTATGAATATGACATGGTTGGATCAGAAAAATAATGCTTTCATAGTAGCTTATAGCCGTGATGAGAGTCACGGCATTTGAAAGGAATGTTTTAGAAATGCTTACAAAGGAACAAAAATGAATAGATATGTTTGGCTGGATGCCAAATAAATAACTTATGATATGATTTAATAAAATTATTTGTACCTTTAAATTAGAGAAGAAACTTAAAGATTTAAATTTCATAATACAACATGACGTCTAGTTTCTTTGCATTTCAAATAACAAGTTGTATCATTTTACACCGATTACAGCGCTTTTACCAGTAATTCATAATTTCATATAATAGGTGTCGCTCCATTCATCTTCTACATTTGTTTCGTTCGAACGCCAATCTTTCTTTTCCCGCGTGTTCGTAGTGTGTTCAGAAGTTGCAATGAAATTTCACCTTTAGTACAGCCACCGGACGTACATATATATGCACCAGGTAGAAAATTAGCGTAGAACAATGGAGCATCTCCCCTACGTAATTATCGTGCGGTTTGGCCATTCGAAGGCGAGGGTCTCTATCCTCTCTTTTGCTTCGTTCCGTTCACCTAGTCCCTGAGACACTGTGATTATACGTACACGCGCGTGAATATCGCTAGTTACACGGTTTTATGGGATTTCCACGTGCACGTGTGCGTCATATAGTTATCCAGCTCTCTACCATAATTACCGGGAGGCAACAGATGCATGTATTTTCATTCCATGTTGCATGCTTCGAACTTGGCAAAAGCGTTCTATGAACATTCACGCACGTGTCACTACGAGAGTCTGGTTTGTCTTTTTTTCTATTTTTTGTTTCTTTTTTTTGTTTTCTTTTTTTTACTCTTACACTCTTGAATGAATAGTCGCACGCGATTCTCTTGAGAACGTTCAATTTCTTTAAGATTCTTTTAGCATGTATTCAAGATTGTAGGTAAAAATACATGTATGTATGTACAATGTATGTTGTCTGTAATTTTTATCGATATTTCATGAAGATTAAGCTATTTAGAGTTTTTCTTGACTTTGAAATGACTTGTTATAATAATTTAGAAAATTATAGTGATTTTTGTATAATAGAAAATTGTAATTGGATGTATATATATATATGTTTTTGCTTTTATAGTAATATTTTAGGTTACCAATGATTATTGACTATATATACATATATATTATTCGTTGAGTCATTAATTGTGTATATCTTTAAGATGTATTCTGTCGATATTGATATATACAATATACAAAATATTAGAATAAATTATTCTATCATATTCAAAATTTATGATAAATTCTTCTTAATGATTTATTTATTCTAATTACTTTTTCAAATATTCATTTTGTAGTATGATTGAACATAAACAATTTTTTATATTAATTTTTTAATAAGACTTGTTCATTTTATTAATTTTCTAACGAACTCAAATTGAATCAACATTGTTGGCATTATTAATTGTATAAAGAAACAATGCACGAATAATACAACATACATTATGCACGATTTTACCGACGAAAGCAACTGCATTTTTATCGCCTGACTATATGAAGGATTTTCGTGTTCTTGCCGAGAGACGGCTCTTATTCCACAATTTACGGATATTTCTATTGAATTCACAGTCCGAAATCGATCGAGTGGGGTGTAAAATTGGAATATATCGCGGAATTCCGTGAGTACTTATGCACAATACCGCGATGTATTATGCACGAACTATATTAAAGCATGACGAGCGTGCTGCGCGCGTTTCTAGCCTGTTTATTCAGCTAGGAAGAACACCAGGGGCAGCACAGGCGAGTTAAAGAGAGAAAAAAGAATGCTCAAGGGAAACCCATTGGATAAAAAAAGTAGTTTGTTATAGAAATTGGAGAACAAACAAAAGTTTAGAAGAAATGAAAAAAAAAAAGAAATTCGGCAGATGAGATAAAGAAAAAATAAGGAGATGTTAAAAAGTAAAAGTGAAACGATCTATGAATAACAAAGATGGCGTTCTATCTTGGTGGTAAAGCAAATAATAGTAGTGCCGATGTTAGAAAAAAAGAAATGGTGAAAAGACGAGACAGAAAGAAAACAGGCTCTAAATGAAGTATGTATGAAAATCGAAAAGAGAAAGAACGATGGTAGATGTAAAACGGTACGACCGAATGACAAATCGCTCGACGGCCAGAAGTTTCGAGTTCTTTGTCCCCTGCTGGTTGGATGCGATTGAAAGCCTGGCGAAAGAGAAGGGTTTGAAGAAGGAAAAGAACAGAAGGCAGAATGGTTGAAAACGTGACAGGGATGAAACGATAAAAAGTAAAGGAGGAATCTTGGTGAAATTGTGGCTTGATTTGGAATTGTATCCGGCTAGATCTGACAAGGTGACTGGATAACTTGATGAGGCGGAAAAGGGAAATGAATGAAAGAGAAAGAATAATCTTCTGTTTTCCTGTTTCTTCTATGCGAAAAATTCATTTTCGAAAATCTATCGTAAAAGAGATTTCATGAACATTTTATCTTTTTTATACTCAATATCTTAATCCTTTCTTCAGTTATTCTTATAATCTATAGATGTTTAATTTTAAGAAAATTTATAAGGAATTGATTTATCAAGTTCGTAAGTTTTAGAAAAAGATCATTTAAAGATATTAGACTTTTTATAAAATATATATTGTTCTTTTTTGTCCATTTTTAAGATTCAGATTAATATACAAATAATTTGATTCTATTAAAAGAAGAAAATTCATGTAATAATATTTCAATTGCAAATTTAATTCTGTTTCATAAATATAGTACTTTAACCTATAAATTTCATAGATATACCTTAAACAATCACAAAATTTCAACTGATTGCGATCAAAAATAATTTATAGTTTGTATAGTTATATAACTAACATAATTTATGCACTTATTTGTTTAAGCCATATGAATAGTTGGCAGCTTTGGAATTAAATACAATGCAGTTAGAACTTTCGTTCTATTTTCTAATAAATAAATATTTAAATATCGATTATAAAGAATCTTGTCTAATATAAAATATGTCATTATTTTAATTTTTAAATTTAATGCTTAATGCATTATATTGTAACATAAATTATATTCGTATTATTTTTTCTGTTGCAGGTGAGTGTTCTTAACGAATCGTTCAAAAATGAAATGTACAGGTAATTTATAAAGAAAATAATTTCGTTTGCCTTTTTTTTTTTGTATTATATTTTTGACAAGAAAATAAGAATTAATTTTTAAAATTAAAATAATTTTTGTTTTAAATAAAATATTTCATGAAAATGTATAAACAAAAACGAAAAATGCTTTTTATATTTATATTTAATAATTTTATATTTAAGATTTTCCTAATGTTTATTCCTAATGTTAATTCTATTTTTAATATTCATTTATTAATATAATACAAAAAATAAGAATATTTTAGATTTATTTGTATTTTATTAATATTCAAGAGAAAAAAATCACAAAATCATTATTATTCGAACTTATACTTCATATTTGAATCTATTGTTAGAATTAAAGATCAAAATGATATTATGTTATCTTAAAGATAGTGATCGTTTTTCTGGTAAAATAATTTAAAGCGACATTATTTTGCCTTTGTGTAGAGTTCCTTGCTGTCCTTACGGATTCTTGTCTTACCGGTTGCAACAATCAGATAATAATTCTACTTCGAGATTTTGCTTCATCTTACGTTCTCCTTCTTTTCTCGTCCTTGTTTACGAAGGAAGTTAAGTGATATAAGTACACGAAGAAAAAATTTATTTTTGTTTCGAACATATTAGTTCATTATTCTTGAAGAAATTAGTTAATTTTTAAATTATTAGTATTGATTTTTTAAATGGAAGTATATTTGAAAAAAATATTATTCGCATAATATATCGATTGATTAATTATGAGAAATATATTTATATAAATATATTTTTTATTGAGAAGTTTAATATTAAGAATATTTATTTATATATTTTAATAAGGTAGAAATATATGAAATATTACATTTAAAAAAAAAATTATAAAAATAATTTATTTTGCATCGGCCGGGAATCGAACCCGGGCCGCCCGCGTGGCAGGCGAGCATTCTACCACTGAACCACCGATGCTCTTGAAAGTTATAGTTTCACTATTTAATTTCCTAGTATTATTTATACTAGAAAATCTAAATGAAATAATATTTTCAATTATAATTTAATATTTTAAATTTAATCATAGGTTAAATATAATAATACAAAAATAATATTTAGTAAATCATTTTAAAAATAACTTTACATAAACATAATAGTTTATATGAAAATTTCTTTCGTCAAACATAACGGTAAACAATTGTAATATTTCAAATAAACATTGCTAAGAATAAAGCATAAAGAAAGACAATAACAAATCGCTGGTCAGTTTTACCGACGACTCTGGTTCAGGGTCGGCCATTGCACTTTCGTGGTCCGAGTATAACAAAGAGGATGAGCTATAGAAACGACTATTCTCCCCTCCTGCATTAGACTTACAATTTACTATCAAGTAGTAGACCATTCTTTATCGTAACAATGATTTGATTTTTGCAATAAATTGATATAGAATTTTATAATCATATGCTTTTTTAATTTGTAAGAATTGCATCGATTTTTTATCTTTTTTTTAAGTTTCATATAAAAAATAATTTAAAATTTTATTTTCAATATTTATAAGATTTAAAAAATTTTTTAAATTACATTTTGTCTTAAATATTTATCGAATATTATCTTATAATTTACTATTGGAAGTCAATAAACTCAAGTGTAGAAAAGTATAGAACCTAGACCCTAGGGCAATCGACTTCGACATCCGGTTTGTCTCGGACCAAAGTCAATGCACCTGGCCCTGCTCGTCCAACCGATCCTTAAAGTGCATCTTTCTCTTACGCAAGTGAGACTTCAGCCATTTTGCTCTCTGTCTTTTTTTTCTCTCTCCTTCTTTCTATACCTGAGCTTACAGAAGACAAAAAGAATTCCTTCACCATCAGGAATCATATAGCCATAACGGGTCCTATCTTTACCAGTGAGCTTACTATCTACCTTGAAAAAGTCGTGTATACTCGAAAGTCTTTCCTGTGAAGAGTCGTGCACTACTCAGCTTCGTGTGAGTGATTTTAACAGGGAAAGGTACTTCAACCGGTTAAACTGACATTTACTGGTTCTCCCCGTGTAGATGTGGCCTTGGCATCGTGTTTCTTTCGACTTGCTCTGTGTCGAGGTTATCACGATACTCAATTTCACCATGACTCTGTATCAGGACTATTATTTAGATTCGTTGATGAAATCTAGACATTTCTGTAAAAATTGTGTTTTTTTCAGTATGAATTTGTGATATCATATTTATACTGGAATAAAACTGGAATGACGTTTTTTGAATTTTATAAAGATTCTAATATTTTCGAAAGAAGTATAATGGCAAGAAAGATAAAAAGCTTCATAAAGAGAAGAAAACATATATCTAAAAGATAGATAAAAAAAAAGAAAAAGAGGATGAGTTTTAGTTTAGAAGATTTTAAAGTCACCACGAATGTGATATCTCTTCCGAGTTCACGGCCATCTTCTTTCAAGGACTTTAATAGGATCGATGCTCCAATGAGATTCAGGGAAAGGAGGCAAACTGTACTTGTGGACTTCGCATTTTTTTTTTTTGCAAAGTACGATCTATTAGAAATTAATTACTGACGTAATTATAGTCAATATATATAGACGATAGTAATTACGTAAAAAAAAAAAAAAAAAAGAAACATTATTAAAAACAAAGTATCATATTTAATATTTAATAATAAAAAATGAAAATGAAAAACAAATAATAATTATAAATCTATGAATATTATAATTAATAATTTAGGAATAAATTATTTTTTATTTTTTAATTAAAAAAAAAATTCATTGCATCGGCCGGGAATCGAACCCGGGCCGCCCGCGTGGCAGGCGAGCATTCTACCACTGAACCACCGATGCTTCGATGAAAGAATAATTCTGAAAGTAAATGAAAGGAAGAAATCACCTACTTTCACACAATAGATTAGATTAACATAATGATAATAATAT